CTTCTTTGTAGCTGTCTAACAGCTTTTCTCACCTTTATTTGAAATATAATTGTATCCTTCTAGCTTTAAAATGAAAGCTAAAACTGGTTTATCAGCTACCTATTTCCCTTTACTCTTTCAATCTCTGCTAGTCCATAAATGGTCTCCTTTCCCTAACCCACCCCTATAGCCAAATAAATCTTCCTGGGAATGAATGTAAAAGCAAAAAGTATTGCTAATGAAATAATGATGAAATAATTAACTCAGATTAAATAATACTCTTCAGCACTCCAACAGGTACTAATTTTCTCCTTGTCTGGCCTTATTCCTACAAGAAAGGGAGAAGAAAAAGCCTCTCAGGTATCTCTGCTCTGGATGATTCCTTAAAAATCCAAGGCCCAACTCACCCACTCCCACGGACCTTGGGGAATGTCCTGCCAGCAGCCTGTGTGGAGCACAGGAATACATGGAGGCTTCTACTCCCTGACTGAACCTTCCCAGCTGCTCTTCACTGACACAGAACATTCCTGTGAATGTCTCTTCACGGGGTGGATTTGGTGTGGATTTACTTTACCTCTCCTCTCCCAGTTAAACAAAAAGAGCACGTCCATCTCCCCGCTGGGCGCCCATTGTCTAAAATCAAACAGGTATGGCACTGTTTGATGAACAAACCCAGCTCACCCAGCTGGAAAGGCTTTTCCTTCCAACAATATTGTGTCCACAGAGCCATGCCTTGACTGCCAACAGGGATGGCATTAGCCAAGAGCTTCCTTGTATTTATTGGCTTTGCCTGCAGGAAGCACGTCCTGGTTCACAGCTCCAGCAGTTACAAAGGTGAGAGTCCTTTGGATGTTCCACCAAGACGAGGATTAAAACATTTCCTTAAGCGGTCTCTGTCCCAAAACCACAGCAGAAATACTCTGGGAGGGCTGAATTCAGCCTTGTGTTGAATAAATGTCCTCTCCACACCAATGCCAGTCAATGGTTAATACATCCTGTGGTATCTCACTGGGATCTCTCTGAGTTTTCAACAGCCCAGAGTCAAGAATTGGCTTCAAATTGTCCTCCAAAGTCACCCTTGAGTTGTGGAAACAGCTCTGCAGGTCTACACACAGCTGGTATCTCCCCATTCTCCCCTGCCCTGACTTAAATCAGGTGGGCAAAACCTGGGTGGTTCAGCTCACCACCAGCTTTCCCAGCTGGGGCTACGAGGCAGGACCAGTGAGCGACACAGAAAGGCAAAGGCAGGTCCCTGTTTGAAGACACTCATTCCTCTGCCACTGTCTGGTTTGTCTGCTGTGACTTCAAGGCCCTTATCTGACGAGCAGCAGCTCTGTCAGCAGCAGACACTGAAGGCTGCAGGGTGTTACGGGGTCACACCCAGCTTCCAGCCGCTAAAAAAACTTCTTGTGACCTTTTCCTACCTATTTCAGGTCTCCGAGATTAAAAGGCAAGAGCTCGCTAGGAAAAATAAATAAATAAATAAACAGCCCAGCCCAGAAGCCACCCTATATCAATCCTTAAAGGGCAGAGCAGCAGGATGCTCTGGCACTTGATAACGTTACCTGTGTCACACAGCAGTGCTTTCTGCTGACTCAGGATCAGCCTTGACATGCTCAGAAACCACCGACTTTTCAATTCTCCTGTCCTGTTTTCCTTCTCTCTCCCTGTGTATCTTTCCAAAGCCCATTTCCCGGGTATTTTTCACCTGCTTTTTCCACTCAGCCTTATTTGTTCCATGGTTTGTTTTTTTTTTTAGTTAACCTGCCTTGTTGCTGCTCCTTAAATGCAGTTATTTAAGAGGTGTGCACTGTACCACACCAGCCAAACCTGCACATCCAACACTCCAGTTTAAGCAGTTCAGCACTGCTGTTTAAACCCATTTCTGGCTGAGCAAGTGTTTATGCCCAGATTAAATCAACATGGAAAGACCCAAAAAGGATGTTCTAGTCAGATTTAAACATGCATGCACACATGGATCCCCAGACTCTTGACCAAATGTCTGCCTGTCTAAAATACATCCTAATACATTTCTGTCCCTCCAGGAAGGCTGGGTACACACCACTGTAATCTCCTGTTTAAACTCTGGTTGTTAAATGCATTTTATTTGCTCTGGGCTCTTGCCTTTGTCCCTGTTTTACACCTGCACCAGTGCAGGACTTTGAAGGCAGAGAGGTTCCCTTGGGGATTTTGTCAGAGCTTCCTCACCGTGCAGCCAAAAGCCAAAGCCTGGGCTGCACATCTTGATGCCTCCCCAGTTCTCTGCTCTGCTCCTTGTCTTTGCAATGCAGCTCTAACCAAATTACCCACCAATCTCCTTTCCTACATGGGCAGCATAAACAACCCTTGACTTCCTTGGAAACGGGGCTGGCTTTAATTGCACTGACAGTGCCTTGAAATTCTCAGGTGGGCAAAGCATTTATTCCACCCTGAGCTGCCTCAGGATGTGGTGTTAACACACATGGCCTCTTATCTGCTCCTCACTCACCTCCCTGCAGCTCCCTCGAGACATCAAGTAGCAACAAATAGCAAGAAAATCCTTTTCCTCCCCAGAACTCCTTTTCATTCCACGGTTTATTTCCATGAGATGCCTCACCCTCAGCAAGGTAATCCTCTGCTGTGGCAGAGACCAGGCTTTAACCTGGTGTTTACTGTTTTAAAATTGGACAGGCTTGTCTTGAAATAAAAGAAGGGCATCATTCCCTGACCAACTTTACCGTGTTTCAGCAAATTATTCCAGGAACAGTTAAGTCCATACAAGGGAATTCCACCTTGAAGGGGAGATTCTGAAGGAAAATGAGCTGTAAACATCAACTCAAACCTGTACTAACTTCAAAGCTTAAAAGGGAAGGGAGCAAAGCACCTGGCAAGACACAGAGAGATCCCAATCTCCCCTTCCAGGACAATTCCCCCATCCTGAGCCTTTGGTTCTTTGTGTGTAGAATAATTTGTCCCCAGTTAAATGTCTTTTTATCCAGGGCAGTGCATACAGCAACTCTCAGGTGGCTGAACCCAATGAATCCAGGCATCCTCTGACAACTTGAAAGGAAGATCAAAGACAAACTCAGGACAAAGAGGCAGGTGAATTAAGGTGGCAGCTCCCAGCCCTGCTGGATTTAAGGCACCGTGGTGGCTGCTGTGCACTCCTGCAGGGGGGGTGCACTGGAATGATCCCCTGGCACGGGTTTGGGATGACCCAGGTAGCTCCCACCTGCTGAGCCATGCAGGCCACTGAGAACAAAGGTCATCAAAACCTTTTTGCCATGCCATGACGGATTTTAGGTGTTTTACAGGGCTGTGTGGCAATTTAGGTCACTTAAACACATAAACCCTTTTCCTGTACTGACACATGAACACAAATCACTTCTTCTGCCACTCAGCATAACATGGGTTGTTTGCTCCTGGACTAGCTGGATGGGCAGGGTTTTTGATAGCTGGACTAACCCTTCAATCTGCAAAAACAAAACTTCTGTTCCCAAGAGGAATTACTGAGGTTTCTTGCAGGAGAGAGCTGAACTGCAAGGAGACAAACAGTTCAGCTGAGGAGGCCCAAGAAATGTACTTGACATAAAAATCAGACCATTATTTTATTCTATGCTCTGCAAGTTCAATTTTTTTTTTTTAATTTTTTTTTATGATAGAGATTCTAATTTCCAAAGGTGTTGGCACCCTCAGTTGCCATTGTGCAGAATCATTGCTCACATGGCCATTAATTAAGGCCGTTGTCAGCACTTCCATTCCAATCCTGCCTTTTAGGAGTTTATAACTCAGCCATAAAACTCTGCTCTGGGCTGAAATCTATCATGAAAGGGTCTGCCTGGAAGGAATCCATCCTTTTGTATTTGAGAGTCCCAAAAGCTCATAGCAACAAACCCGGGATTTTATTCTAAAGGCTGCCAGTCCCAAACCTGGGCTGCTTTTCTGAGTGCTGGGTGAGCTGTGCCTGCTGGACTGGCTCTGGGAGCTCCCTGACAGGGTGGGCTTTGTACTCTCAACGTTGTAAATTTGAGGAATGATGAGGGTTTATGCTTCAGGGCCGAAGTCTGGGCTTAGTTTAATACCAGTGAACACCTCTGCCCTTGCTGTTCCCCACAGAGAGTATGATCCACATGGATCTCCCACCCTTCTCTCCCCACAACCTTCACTGGGCCCAATTCATACTCCAGTGCTCAGCTAAACAGATGGAATTTGTCTCTCCAAGACCACAGGTTGGGTTATAAATGGTCCTCTGGTAGTTGTAGTAGTAGTAGTATTTTCCTACCTTTTTTTCAGTCTCTTACTGAACAGGAGGTTTGCACAAAGCATCCAAAACTACTTTTAGTAGAACAAAAGGTTTTAGTGGACTGCTCTTTGCAGCCCAGCAGAGCAGCTCCTGATTTCTACAGTGGCCACATGTGTATGAAGCACACACAGAACCAGACCCTGGACTGTCCTGCACCCTCCCCCCTCCTTCAGTTCTCTGCTCCCCAAGAAGTTTTTGGCTCCACAGGTTAATTTTTCTTGTACCTGCCAGGCTCAGCTACTGCACTCTGATCTGGCAATTCAGAGTAAAAGAGACATTTCAAAGTTCCAGTTTGCTTTTTTTCCTAGTGCAAATTTCTGCAGCTGTGTTTTTGAAGGATTAGAAAAGTTCATGACTGCTGGCAACACATATAAAGATAATGAACCGTGCTCAGGGTATCAGCTGGCCCAGAGGTCACAAAGGAATATTCATATTCCATTTAAGCATTTTCACCTTCTTAGGACCAGAGTAAACATATCAAAACTAATAATGGGCTTTCTTTACAAAGCCAATCCTCTCTTCCAGCATAAAAGAGGCTGTTTCCCCCCAACAGCTTTCCCCAAAATAAAAACAAAGGAGAGGGTAGGTGGCAAGGGGAGAATGAGGAACAAAGGGAGGAAGAAAAAAAACGCCACAGCACCGACAGAAACATTCATTTACATCTCACAGCATCCATATGCCAGTAACCATATCATAAACTCTTAGCCTACCATACAAAGAGGGTGCCCCAAAATGGTACCTGCAAGAGGTCTCTCGGAAGGAGATGTTTAAATCCCAGTGGGTGTGTATCCTGTCAACAGACAAACAAACAAACAAACAGAGAGGTCAGTGGCACGGGCTGAATGCTGCATGTCTTGCTGCTTAAAAGATCTGCCCACCCAAAGCCAAACCCCACGAGGAGCCCACCTGCACACACTCCCCAGGTGAGCTGTGGAGCACTGACAGACCTCCCTGCTGCATGCAAGAGGTGGAGGGGCTGCAGGACGTCTTCTCAACTCCCAGGCCCCGCTCAGAGGAAGCAAGACGAGCTCAGCACTGACATTTTATGAAGAGAACCCAAATCTGTCTGTGCTGTGTCCCCTCCTCCGCACCCGCCCCAGCTGTAAATAAATTATTAGCAATTTCCCACCTCGGAAATTAATTTCACATACTCTGTCACTCTGCCTGCTGACAAGCAGCAATAGCAGATCCTAGATGAACAATATCCTAAATTAAGACAGAGCAGCCAAGGGGGTTGGTTTTTTGATGGATTTCTTTTTCCCCCTTTGCTACCAGACAGCATCCACCCCAGCCCAGAGGGAAAAGGCGGATGCTTGACCTTCTGTGGTCTGGTGTCTCCTCTCAAAACCAAGCAGCACTGATCTCCCCTGGCTCAGGGGAGGTCTGTGACCACCACTGTGTCTCCACTATGTCGTGGTGATTGATGACAACCCCAGCCATCTGAGAGCAGCCTGGCAAGCGAGTCCCTGTCCTCGCACAAACCCTCCCAGAGCCTGCCAGGGAACGTGCTGCACCCTGGCTGGGCAGGCAAATCACCTCCTGCAGATGCAGCTTCCCAAAGGGCTGCAGATATCCACGAGCAGCAGAAACCAAATGCACCTCTTGCACATTTTGGGTAGCCCTGCAGCAGCTCCTGCCTCTGCCCCCAGCAGCAGTGCGTGGCTGCAGAGCATCTGCTGCAGGAGGAGCCTCACCTAAAACCTGCTGGAGTAAGAGAGAGCCCTTCCCCCGATCTGAATGGGCTGTGAATTGGGCCAGAAAACACTTCACCGAGACCAGAGCAGTCGATGGGGCTTCACTCGGGTTTGAGTGTCTGTTTAAGTGCTTTCCTGCTCCAGCCTAGTCCTGAAATTACCTGAGAACAACTCTTAGCACGGAAATAATTTCACGTCCAAGACATGCTGCTGCTGCCGGTTTTACTAATGTGATGGCACAGCTTTTGTGCTCTTCCTGCAGGTCTGGCTCAGAAAGGGAGTCTGGTTATTCTTCTAGGGGTGAATAGTTTTTTTATAGATATTAACGTCCACCAATAAAGCCATTCTCAGAATTCTACTTAGCAGTGCCACATGAGCCTAGTTTTTCCTATTTTTCTTCCTCATATATACCAGTTTATAAAACCTATCCCAGCTTTCCACCTTCCCAGCATTTCATTTGTGACTAGAAATGGAGCAGGCTCTTCTCAGCTCCTGAGCTCACAGCAGGAACAGTTGCTCTTCCAAGTTAAAACTCAGAAAATGTTTGAAAACTTTCTGGAAAGGACAGGCCAAAGTGGGCCACTGAGTAACACTTCCATGAGCTGAAGTCTGGTCAAAGTCTGGCACATATTTGGACTCTCTGGAGCTCACAGTGTTAGCACACATCCATCTGTTACAGCACTACCTGGCAGGGCAAAGGTGGTTTTCATCCTGGGAGGATCCTCAAGCAGGAAGGATCCTCAAAGCAGGGTTGCAACATTTCTTTGACTTATACAATAATGTATTATACTACAATATAGTACATTATATTATATATACCTAATGTACCTATACCTATTTTTTTATTTTTATTTATATATATAAACGGATATATATAAAAAGTATATATATACCTAATATATATATATATATACATACACACACCTAACATATATATATATATACACACACCTAAAAGTTTTATATATATATATATGAAATACAACCATACTATACCAGCTAATACACCTCATCCAAAAGCTGCCATCCACACTGGGAAATGTCACCACTCCCAGCTCCCTGACCACATCCTGGGACCTCCCAGCCGTGGCACTGCTGAAGGGGGCACAAGGCTGGAGGGTGAAATGATCTCAGCCTTCCATAAAAATGTACCTTCCCGTGGCCTGTGCAGCTCCTGCAGCGATCCCAAGGGTCAGGTGAAGGCCCTGTCTCGTGGTGGGACTCAGTTCAGCTCAACTTCAAAGCCTAAGAGCACTTTGTGAGAGAGGGATAAGCAGGGGGGGGAGAGGGAAAAGCTCATCCCAAAGGACCGGCTCGGATCCACACCGAGGCTGAAACATCCATCTGCCGAGATGGATAATTAAACACTCATATTTAGACAAATGAATAGGTGAGAATGAAATTAAATTCTCATTATCTTTTCTTTTTTTTGGGGGGGTGGGAAGGAGGGAGGGACAGGGAGCAGAACCGACACTCATTCCACTGCACTGGGCCGTTATCACCAATTAAGATTTCTGAGCCTAATGTACATCTTGTTTTAACAGGTTATTCATCCCATTGAAATCAAATTACTAATAATTTGCAAAGCATCGCCTACACAAGCCTGTCCTTGGGTTGTATGAAGAGTGGTGAGCAGGAGCCAGTCCCTTACAAATTAATAACAGAAAAGCAGGGGCGGGGAAATAAAAACCACGGTCGGGCAAGGGAAGGGAAGGTGCTGCAGCTGCTGCTTCTCTCCCACCTCCTCACCCACCTTGAGGGCCTGGATGTGGTGTGGTCAGTTAAGTGTTCCATAAAAATGACCAAATGAGTCCCACAGGAACAGCTCCCTGCAGAGCCTGGTCAGCAGGGAGGGGGTCCGAGGGGGAATTCAGTACCTGCTGCATCAGGAGGGGCTGGAATGTCAGGGTTTGGCTTGTGCAAAGAATTAAACTGCTTATATATGTACGTGAAGCCAAAAAATACTAACGGGAAGGTCTTGAGGCTGTTCAAGGCATCTCTGGAGCCTGGACTGGAATGAGAATCCAGCCCAGAAAAGCAAGTGGCAGAGGTGGAAAACTATTGGAGAGCAGCTGGGATAGGTTTTAAAATTTTTAAGTTGTTTCCTTCCCTGACATTTCTCTTTTACTCCAGCGGTCCCTGCAAGATTTCAGCACCAGAGTGGCCCTGTGGAAGGGGCCAGCAGTGAGTCAGGTGTCTCCCTAACATCCTGTCACCCTCATTCCCAGCTGAGCTCCTGCACTATGGCCAACCTGCTCCCTGTGCTGTCCCAGGGACACACTGCAGGAATCCAGGGACCCAGACACATCCTATGGAGTGTGAGGAACACTGGGCAGCACCCAGCAACAGGAACAGGTCATTACTGCCAGAAAAACCCATTACAGCACCAGCTCTTGCCCACAACTGTCCCTTCCTACTCCCCCTTAATTATAAGGCCAACACTTCCTTTGGATGGAGTTTGTCCAAACCTCTCAATTTTCTAGGCCACAGAGAAGAGAAAAATATTGACAAGGTTTTCCCACATCCTCTGGTTTAGGAGTCTGCCCTGAAGGGACAGTGCTGGTAAAAGGGAGAATTAAGGAATTTCTGTGCAATGGGCACAGCCCAACCCCACCGGGATCACTGGGAATTCAACATGCCCTGGGTACCACCATCGTGCATGGAAACATGGAATTCACAGTGCTGCAGGGGAGCAGTTTGGGAAGATGGACCTGCAGGAGCCATTCTGCTGGATGCTGGGTCAGATGGACAGAGCTGGCTCCTCTCTCCTCCTTGCTCTTCACAATTTCACTGTCTCAGCTTCCAGAGTCTCCCTATATCCATGTCAGGCTATTTTCAGATGTTAAGAAGCTCGTGCAGGCAATGAGCAGGGTTCAAGAAACCTCATCCAGGATGGCTGGAAGAATGGCCCTATTAGAGCAAGACTGAAAGCCTGGACTTGGGGCATCTGGGTTATTCTCCACCATGGGACTGATATCAGATACAAGGAGACATGGAGAGCAGCCAAGAGCACTTGTGTGTCAAGGTTTCATTTCCCTTCATTCTTACACTTCACCTTTCTTGCAGGTCTTTTATCTCCCTCCTGGACAAGAAGGGGAGTTCTTGCTGTTTATTATATTTTATCCTGCAGCATCCCTGAGAAGTGAGTAGCCATTTTCTCTCTCTCTTCTCCCTCAAATCTATGTCCTCATTAGGTCAGGGACAGCCTTCCTGGCACTCTGGACCAAGTCCAGCCTTTGCTTCCCAGAGGGATCTTTAATATATTTATTGAATACAGTGACTGTTGTTAAGTGGTGCACGGTTCAGAGGGAAAGGGGGAAGGAGGGAGGAAAGAGAAAGGAGAAGAGAAAATAAAGAGCTGCAGAGGGAGGAAGGAGGGACTGATAGAAAATAACCAGAGAGAGCTGTGAAGGAGAAGTGTCACAAAGCAGCAAAATGTGTCTCCAGCCACAAGAGGGGCCCTGCCTCCCTCTCCTCGAGTCCTGGCAATTAGGAGAAGGGCTGTCGAGTCTAATCTGAGAGCCTGAGTCCCTCTGGAGCCCAGAGCCCTGCCCTGTCACGTCTGTCTCCACTCGTGCAGTGCCTGGCAGAGCCCTGTCAGCTCAGCCCAGGCGAAGAGCAGTGTGGTGTGGAACACCCTGCCACAAAACTGAGCTCCAAAGGGAGCAGGGATGTCACCCAGCTCTCATCCCAGCATTCTGGGAAGAGGCCAAGAGAGAGAAGGAAGGCGAGGGCAGCTCTGTGCACATCAGCTGGGAAGGCACTGGGACCTCGTGGCTCTGAATCACAAGCAGGTGCATGTGACAAACATAATGGGGGGTGCTCGGGGTCTGATCTTCAATCAATTAGGGAGTCAAAGAGCAGCAGCCTTATGGGAGGTGGGAAATAGCTTTCCACTTAGGGAGGCAGGCAGAGGGAAGGCTGACAGTGCCAGTCATTAAGGCTTCCTGGAGGTCAGTAATTTCCCTATTAGAAAATGGGTGCTGAGCGAGGGGAAGGCTGGAAAGCTGTTCAGAGAGGTGAGGGGAGGGCAAATTGTCCTGTCTGGGCTCCATCCACGTTCCTGTGTGGACAGGGGCAAGGAGACAGTGTCCCACCATTCCTTGAGTAAGCACCTTCCCTCCAAATGCTCTTCCCTGGTTTGAAATAACCCTAATCCCATGCCAGGTGTTAGACACTGGGGTCATACTGCTGACACAGCCAGAGAAGTGGGGGGGGAAGTGACCTAAAAACAGGACAAAGGACTTAAGGGCAGGATGAGGTTCTTCAGAAATCTGCTTCTCGTTTCACAGGCACTCTGTTACAGGACAGCTTTTGTTATTTCTCCTCAAAATGGCTTTTATCTCAGATCATTATCTGGCAAGGAACCCAGCCCGTTGTGTGTGCTCTCATTGTACAATCTGCCACTACTTTTGCTCCCAATCATCTTTTTTTTTGGATTTGTTTTGTTTTTTTTTAATAAAAGAATTTCAAAGGCATTTTTGCCATACCTATCCATTTGCACCTCTCCTGCCCATTCCTCAGCTCAGTGTAAGTGTTCACTGATATCCCACAGAGCTCCTTCAGAGACAGGTCAGGTCAAAAACTTTCACCATTTTAACAGGTGTTTAAGCATTACTGCCTCTTATTCTGAGCCACACCACCGCATTTTGCTGGGGATTTAAAGCTGTTCCTAACCCACCCTGTTAAAATCTCAGATGCTCTGACTGCATTTCTCCTCTCCTCTTTCCCTCCCCTCCCATACTAATGAAAGAGGCCAGTCTCTAAAATAGAAATGAAATTCATGCACCCACAAGACAATACTGGGCTTAAATCCAACAGCATGTGAGGATCTTACTGTTAAAGCTGAACCTTATTCTCTGGCTGCACTGGCTTTCATCTCCTTGGTGTTTCTTGGGATAACATAATATCCTTGAAGGCAGTTTTCACCTCAGGGTGGAAAAGCTCCCGAGCTGAGGTAATGCATTTATCAGTGCTGGTTGGAATCTCCCTGTGAGTGTTAAGGCACTTAATGCTCTCCAAACTATTGCAGAGCAGTGGAATCTGTAGTCTCCAACTCAAGAATCAGGGAGTCATTAAGGTTGGAAAAGCCCTCTGTGATCACCAAGCCCAACCTTTCGCCCAGCACTGTGTTCACCACTAATCTGTGTCCCCAAGTGCCACATCCACACATTTTCTGAACACTCTCAGGGATGGTGGCCCTACCACTTCCCTGCATGTCTTATTTGGTGTCTAGGGTAACCCAGAGATGGGTAACAAAAGAGAAGACTGGCTTAACTTTTAGTTCAGCTTAGTGAGAAAGGAGAAAGGCTTAATGAAGACCAAATTTCTATCTGAATTCTGCCCTACATAGTCCTTGCAGCAGTGCTGCTATGCCAGTATTGTTTTGACTAAAATAACTGTACAGGTGACAAGAAATGCCCAATACTGTTAACATTCTTTTTCCCCATAGGAAGAATGATGTTCACAGCCAGACAAACATCCTCACCAGGAGTCAGGACAGCTTAACCATGGCAGTTCAGACAATGCAACTGCTGCATGTAGGCAAGTGTTGTAAGAGAGCAAGATTTTCAGGAAGCTGAAATCTGATAGAAAGGAAGAAAGAAAGAAAAAAAAGGGGTTTTTTTTCCTCTGCAACATTGTCCCAATAACCCTTGGAGCTGAGTGCCTGGAGTCTGTGTCAGCACAGTGACACAGTTTTGGAAGGACGTGGTTGTGAAATCATTTGGCATCCACCGAATGCACTGACTTCAGCAGGAGCCACAGGTCTCTGCTCCTTTCTAGGACTGCAAGAACCTGCCAAGGTGGGTTTCCTCAGCCTCAGATCTCCTCTGAAGGCCACCACCACGGGCAAGATCACAGAGGAAATCGGTGTCAAAGGCGAAGGTGAGGGACCGGCCAAGAAACCAAGCCTGCAACTCCTCTGATCCCCAGACTTCAGAGTAACAGAAAGGATTCCCTTGTGCCAGCAGTGGAAGGAAAAACAGTCAACACAAATGAAATTGGGAATAGGAGAAGGCAGAAAAGGCACCAGTGTTCAAAGCAGTAACGTTTACGTGGGTGTTTGTGATGGGACGTGCACACAGGACGCAGGGGGGGCAGCCAGGGGTGCAAAAGAGGGAAGCACAGGTTTGCTCAGGCCCTGACCTTGTTTTCCTACCACAGTTTAACCTATTTCTTCCTCTCAGTGGGGGACAATAAACCCTCAGCCCAATCCATGCCCATCAGGGAGGCCACAACAGGTGAATTAAAGCAGAAAGCAGATGGGGCACTGTCTCTGCCGGGCCCCAGCTGTCGTGTCTGAGCTGTCTCGCCTTTATGCTGGGCTGTCTCCAGAGCCAGCCCCATCCCACCTTCCACCCCGCTCCCTGCCTGCTAATGACACTGGGATCACAGCCAGAGCCTGCTCCTTCCAGCAGGGCTGAGCAGGAGAGGGGCCAAACTCCCTGTTCATGGCTCTGGAACAGCTGGAAACGGCCAGTCCTCCCCCTCTTTGGGACAGGAGGGATGGGGGACCCATTCCCAAGGGGCCAAATGCTTGGAAGTGCTGGAGGATTGGAGCAGTGGGTGTTCCCTGCCTGGGCACCAAGCACTGAATTTCTTTGCTTCCCGTCTTTCTGCACTCATCAGGAATGCTGCCTGCCCTGTTTGCTCCAGCTATTCCAGCTTTCCCCTCACACACACACACACACTCTGCATCAGAGCTCCCGGGAAAACAAAAAGGAGAGCAACTGTACCAAAGCAATTAGAGCCTAATCTACCTGCTAAGAATCCTGTCCTCCTCTAAGGAAACAAGACAAAGCTTAAACAAGAGACCTTCAGACACACTGATTGAGAGCTACTGGAGAGCACGGCAATGCCAAGCTGGAGGACCACTGCCTAATAACCACTAAGTATTTTTCCTTCATTTCCTAATAAACAAGGCAAAGCAATTACAGTAATTAAAGATTTAAGATAAGAGCACTTTATATTTGGGGGGCCCAGCATATCAATTATACAGTTATCATGTTGTTCTCCCTCCTAATGAGACAATCTAGCACTATAATTTTGCAGCATTAAAAGCATAATTAAAGGGGGCAGGAGAAGAAGGGCAGTTTACCAAAACTGATTAGGAGGGTTTCCTCTCCTCAGTGGCTCCTGTGCACACACAGAGCACAGATGCATTCCCCAAACACCCTTCCATTTCCAAGAGATAACCCTGGAACATGGCTGTTGGACAGCTGCAATGATAAACCCAGGCTTTAATTACAGGAGGGTTTTATGGGAAGAGCTGGTTGCTGTTTTGTTGTTTTTCTGCTGTTTTCTCCCTACTCCCAAGCTCTTGGTTGCTGAATGTACCAGCATCTGTTGGAAGGTAAGGGGGAAATAGCTTATCTTCTCAGAGGCAAGAAACACATAAAACATAAGAAAAGCAATTACATGCCTTCAGTTCCCACTCCTCTGTTTTTATAGGGCTTGTCTTAGAATCTGAGTGATTTTATGCATCAGAGGGAGATGACAATCAAGATGAGTGGCAATGATATGCATGGGAGGCTGAGGCACAGTGCCTTTAGGTATCTATTTTCCTGTAGTTACAGCTTTTCTAAACTTCCTATTTTTTTCAGAGGGATGGGAGAACCCAGAATTTTGCAGCTGAATATTGTGGAGTACTCGTGGACCACACATGAGAGCCCAAATGACAGTAACCATAATATAACTTAAAACAAACTGACTTCTCCTCTTCCTTTCATTTCACAATTAGAGGAGAAATTCCAGGAGAATTCCAGGAGAAATGTGAGTGGTAGTGGGAAAAACAGGATCAAAGTATGTAAGCACTGAGGTAAGCCCTCACCTGAGTTACTCTTTCCTACTGCAACTCCACCACTACTAGAGAGGTTCTCAGGATGCTCTTTGGCACTTGTACTTTCAGGACACAAAACACCACACATTGCTGCAAATTCCTTCCCAAACTTTGCTCCCCAACATTAAATTATCCAGTTTATGTTACATCTGAATTTAGGGACAAGTGAAAGCAGAAAGCAGGATTTTGGACCCATGCACCGCTGGGTACTTTGAGACCACAGATGACTTTTTGGGTCATGCAGTTCTTTGGCCACAGAGACACAGGACACTGGACAGAGAGTGGAGCACAATCTACAGTCTGCAAATCCAGATGCCTAGAGGGCAAACACAAGGCCACACAGAGTCCCTCCTTGCCCCAAAAAGGGGCGAGTAAAGAGAAAAAGAAGACCCAACTACTCTTTCTGAGCCTTGGCTCACAAAGGCTGGTCACCTGCTGCCCAGTTCTCTGTGCCTTTGCTCCTGCACTTCAGCACTCCCTGGCAGGAAAGTACCTTCTTTTCATGATACTGATGTGGAGATCCTCCTCCTGCTTTACTTCGGGGTGCTGACCATTGCTCTTGTCGCTCTCTTCGCTGTCGTCGCTATGCGAGAAAATGGAGGTGAGCTCTTTCTTCGGGATCCTGGTGGGAGGTAAAGGGATGGTTCTCTTCTCTGCCAGGCGGCCCCGGTTCTGGAAATGGTTGGAATGGGAAAGGGCAACAGGAGGAGAGAAGAAAACAAGAATTTGGTTAGGAAACTCAAACCCAAGGAGCTGCTCTCAAAGAGCTGCCCTGAGAAGGCAGCACTTTCAGACCCTGACAGTGTTCCCACTGTTTGGGTGGATGGGCAAAGACCCTGCTCACTTTGCAAAAGGCTTTGCAGCAAAGGCACATCTGTATCTAATTCTTTAAGTCATGCCCTTCCAGCCTCTCCCATCTCTTAATTCCTAGCTTGTGTCTGATCCACATCGATAGGAAAGGGAGATGGCAGTAGAATAAGGCACCAGTCTCTCTCTCCAGAATAATAATATAAATATAATAATGGCCGGTCTTCGCGAGCGAAGATCCGGGGAAGGTCTTTCCACCTTCCAGCCTGCGCATTGGATTTTTTAGGTGAGACACAGTGTGCGCGGAACTGAGCCCACCCTTTAATCCTAAGGTTCATCTGCCGGGGCCAAGCGAGCTTGGACAGTGGCAGTGAGGTCCTTAGGACGTAGGTGGGTTGCCTTTAAGGGCTAACGAGCCCCACCTGCCCGGGAGTGGCCCTGACCGGGAATCGAACCCGGGTCTCCGCGGTGATAGCGCGGCGCCTTTACCCCCTAGACCACCAGGGGCTCCCTCTCCAGAATATTTCCTACCAAACGCCGCACATTAACACAGTGGAGTGAGTTCAATTACACCTTTGCCAGTAGCCCAGGGAAGCCATGATCCAGATAATCCAGAGCACTTCTGACTCTAAAGGGAAAACTGCCCGTGCCAGCCAGCAGCAGGTTCCTCTCACACCACTCAACAGTCCACAGCAATTTCAACCTGAACTACTGAGGCTACTTCCCACCTGCTCATCTGCATGCTGAGATGGATGGAGCCTTGCAGAGATGTCCCTCAGTGCTGCTCCCTCACCAACTCACTGCTGACATGGCACAACCACACAGGAAGAGAACTCCCAAGAGCCTTTTTTCCTCACGTTTACAGAGCCTGGCACAACATGACCCCGGTCCCAACCTCCTCTCCTCCTCAAGCAGTGAGATGTATCACAGATCACTGTCCCTGCAGCCTCTGTGCCTGATCCACGAGAAGACACAAGCCTAGTGCAGCCTAAGCCAGACTGGGCTTTACCTCCCACTGGGACAGAACAGGTTTTTAGGATTGGGGTGTTTGGCTCCATCTGTGACTGAGCAAGACAAGAGCACTTCCAGTGGAAGATGAGCACTGGAAACCCGGGGAGGCTGTGGGATGGGAACCACAAGCGAGGGGAAGTGAAGTTCTGTGCACGTGCTTTGTACAGGAAGAAAGGTGCATGGAACAGGTCGAGTAACTGCAGAGTAACACTGAACTAAGCAACAGTTTCCCTGAAACATCCATTCCAACTTCCCAAGTAAACCTGGCAAAACACAAAGGTCCTGGGAAAGCCAGAAAGTCTCTGCAGGGGAGAACCAGGAATGCTGAGTGATGGAACAGCCCGTGCTCTTTTAATTAAATAAATTAAGAACCTTCCACAAATACAAAACAAAAAACTTGTTTACCTCTGTCAATAAATTCCAGTTGTGCTCATTAAGGGGAGCCCTAATCGCTGTGATAATTAGCTAAATCCATCTGGAAGGCATCACCCCAAGGAGCCACATTAGAGCTTTCCCACTCTGATGCAGGTCCAAGCCACGAATGCAGCTGTCTGTGAACAGCAGACACCCAAGGGAGAGCAGAGCAGTGGGCCAAGCTGGCATAAAAAAGGGGAAAACACATCCACAAGGAGAAAGACACGCACTTTACACATTGTGTGTGTCCCCAACCCTCGTGCAGGAGCTGCATTTCCACCCCTGCCCCTCTCCTGCTCCACTGCAAACAGAGAATGTGCACCAAGTTCATCCCCTGCCCAAAATCATCTCAGCAACACGAGCTCACTCAGGGCCAGAAGGACAGCAGGGAGGTGAAGGGAGAAAGGGAAAAGCGAGGGGATGGAAAGGAAAAGCAAGGAGGGGCAGTATTTGCACCAGACTTCTGTCATTTACCAGCATGAGCTTCCTCATCCAAAGCTTTCTGTATTTTTCAGGAGTGGCAATTAAAGGGGACGGGGAGGGAGGGGGCATTTCCGCTCCAGAATTATCGCAATTCACTCTCTGCTGTGACTTCACAGGCTAAAGAGAACGGCACAGATCAGACACTAAAAATCATTTCATGGCCATTATGGCACCTTGGAGCAGTTAGCAGGTCTCAGTGACTGCCCAGGGACTCGTCAACCCTGAGCAGAGTGAGAGTGCAGCAAAAAAGGGAGGCACAGAAACAGCACCCACAGGCCACAGCACGGGTCCCCCCTTTCCCCTGCTCCTCAGGGTGCTTTTTCTTTGCCTTTCTGTGACTTGTATCCTTACACCTAAAGCTGCTGCACATGCACACACATTATGTATTTGATATACAAACACTGCAGATGTACCTATGTAGGTAACACCTAACACATCTTCCCTTAAAAGACAAATAAATGAGCACGAATGGAGGAAGAGAATTTGCATCTGCAGCGACCTCTGCTCACAGCTGACCTGCCCTGCTTTTGTAGGATGGCACTGGAACCAAAACCACAGCGGCTCCAGTGTCCCTGTAAAACCCAGCATTCCAGCCCCAGCAATGCATCTTTTTAAAGTTCTGTTTACTCTGTACTTTGCATTTTTGCCATCAGGTTTGGGGTGCTTTATTTATTTATTTGCTGCGTTTCTCAGGTTCGCAGAAAATTAAAATAGACTGAGCCAATCAATTTTGCCTTTTATATTCATCTATAGTCAGTTTTGAATCAATTGCACTTCCTTAATCTGTTTAGAGGCATTCACCAGTAGCTACACATTACTTTTAAATTAAGCACAAAGGTAGCCAGAAGCCTGGCCCAGAACCTGCTACAATCAATTGCCTTTCCATTGACTTGAAAGGGCGCTGGTCCAAGCTGCAAATAACAACAAAAAACCATTCCAAAAAACACACAGGAATCTTTCCTGGCTTTTGCTGAAGTCCTTTTTCAGCTGTACACAGATTATAGAACAGGAATGCACCTGCAGAGGTGAGCAGGGTGTTCAGATACCCACAGTTACTCCAGTTCAGGGTTACCAACTACCAGTGGCAAGTGGCAGCAGGCAGTAAAGTCTGCACTTACAGGGTTATGTCCAAGAACACACCCAGACACTGCACTGGCAGCCCCAGATATGGGGAGGTACATTAGGGTTTACAGGTTTTTGATGGAAACCTCATAATCTCGCCTTTGAAAAGCTCGTATGTGGGTGGCAGTGGAAGATGTCCTTGCCCAGGGCAGGAGGTGGAACTGGATGATCTTTAAGACTCCTTCCAACCCAAACCATTCCATGATTCTATGATTCTATGCTTGGGAAAACAACCCAAACCCAACAGTCACACACTGTGAGAGCCAGGCACCTGGGACACGACCTTCCCCATTAAATAACCCCATTTTTACACACCTGAAGAGTGGGGAGGAAGGTGTGCTCTGCCACCTGGCCTCTTTAAACCAGTGGGACTGTTTTGGCCAGTGAGTCAGAAAGGAGCATTTTCTGGGGCTGCAGAGCCAGCAGCTGTCCCAGCAGGGGGAGAACCCCCTGCAAAAAGATGAAGTACACACAGCAGTAAATACAGCTCAGGGCTCATCCAGCACAGCCAGCCTGCCAGCTGCCCAGTCCAGGAGGACAGACAGACAGTGGTAAGAAACAGAGTATGTCCCTAAGAGCAAGGGGAGCCTGGGACCCCCCCCACTGAGGACCTGTTTGTGGGTGGAACAGTCAAATGGCACAGGTAATAACAAACCTGCAGCAAACCAACAAACCCCTTCAGGGCCTGAGAGAAGCCCAACCAAAGTGTTTCCCTTCAGCTCAGGGGAAACCTCTCCAGGCTTGCACCCTCCTTTCACAGCAAGAGGATTTCCCCCTACCCTGTGGATAGAGGGGTGGGGAACACAACATCCCTCACCCGCTCTTTAATCAATGGAATTAGAAAGTAAAACGTTCCTGCAGTTCCCCAAAGCCCTTTGAGAGGGTGAGCGTTGAGGGCACTGCAGAACTGCCTCGTGCATCAGGACTCCCTTCCCCTTCATACACTGTTAAAGATTAATTTTGTGGGCTATGATTCCAGCTAACGAAGCACAGCTGGAGTTTGAGTCAATAAACCCTCCGTCCCCCCAGACAATCGAGCTCCCTCCCGGCCGCTCCTGCGTCAGCCCAGCCCTCCCTCACTCACCACTTCACCCTCCCAGGGTCTTTTGACACCATTAATTGCTTTCATTGCCTCTCAAAGTATTGTCTGGGTGGGGGGTTGCTTTGTTTTTAAAAAAATCACAGACAGGCATATTTCCTTTCCCCGGGGAAAAAAAAAAATCAGATGGGTACCAGCACGCTATTTCAAGTCACCCATTATCCCAGAGATTCAACTGCAATTAAAATAAAAAAAAAAACCACCCAACAACCTGAGGACAGCAGCAGGTTACCCGAGGGGAGAAGCCTGGGAGCCCCATCATTCTGCCCTGGAAGGCAAGGACCATCGGAAAGATGGAAAAGGAAACAGTGGGGATGTTTCTTCCCTTCCAGAGAGCCGGGGGAAAATCCCTCTCCACGTGGCTAAACGAGGTCAGCAGAGTCACAAAATAAAACCTCTCTTTCCCCCCACCCACCCATCGAACTCTCCCCAGGAGCCCTGCCCTCCCCAGCCAAGAACACCAAAATCCAAACTGGTTGCGTAAGAGCCCTGGGAGAGCTGGCAGATGGAACGACGGGCGGAGAGAGCATGGGACCAACTTGGGGGAGAGAGACAGGAAGGGAGGGTTAGGAAAGGTTTCCTGCCCTGGGAGCTACTGCAACAAGGTCAGAACAGCTGAACGCCCTGGTGTGACATTCAAAGTCAGCCAGAGAAGGGAAGATTCCTTGCCGAGAGAGAGTCCCTGGTGAGCGTTTAATTGATCCCAGCAATGGCAAGGCCTCTGCTCCGAGAGCTG